CGCGCCTCCGTGGTCTAGTGAGCAAGAGCGTCTGTCAGGATATCGGATTTCATGATTTCGATCCCCGCCCGCGAATACAAAAATACGGTTTTAAGATGGTACTTATTGTTACCCTGTCTCGCGCTCGGCATTAAAGGGCTAAAAAGAGGACTGATCGGCCAGGAGTCAGTACACTGTGTCTGAGTGGGGTATGCATGTTAAACAGCGGCATGGTGATTCAGTTGGCTGGCACTAAAAACCGGCACTAAAGTACTCACGGAAATGAAAAAAAACTGTTTTTTCGATCTCGGATTTTATATAAATGCAGTTAATATACAAAATATATAAATATTAAAAAAACTCAATTAGTACTAATTGGGCCTTGGCACAAATACAGTGTATCAAAGGTTTTTATGTCTTTTTACATGTAAAAGTGTGTAAAAATATGAACAAAACAGATTATTGTGAAACTGAGCATAACCAGGTGTTAGTAGACCAAGGTGAATGTCCATGACCTATGACACCTTGACGACAGGTGAAAACAGGTGCTTGAAACCCACGTGCATGTGATTTGTCAGTGGTTAATTATTTGTGAGTGGCATTGTGGGATAGTGAATCATCGTCACAATATCAGAACGTAAAAGTAACATATTCCCTTCTCAAACAACAACTTACATGTCATTATTATTATGTACATAAACATAGCTGTTATATATTTTTATTGTTGTTTTGATAACTTTTTTCCAGGCTGATTTGCATAATGCCTACAGCCTGTTTCTGCCATGTCAATTTTGACTTAGTTTTATTTTTGAATGTTGAAAGTGCCTACAAATTACCTCCTGTAAAGTACATTTTGTATTGAGCACTGAGATAAAACTAGCAAATCCAGACTAGTACTTTTCTAGTTGTTTTGTTATTTCGTATTTACATCTACGTAATGCTTTGTGTCGATTATTAAATCCAGCAAAACAGGGTTTTTTTTCATTTCCATGAGTACTTTAGTCCCAACCACAAACTAAAAACATGCACGTCGCTATACGAGTGAGACGTAAACCCCTTCATCGCACATAATGTCAATGCGGGGAGTATAAGATTGGAATGGCTGTGTAAGGTTCGTCCAGATTAACTGTACACATTTTGAAGTTTTCTAAAATATTGTTTCTCAATGGTGTAGTTTGTGCTGAGCAATATATTTTAGGCTAGAGTACACCATCAACTGTCTAGATAGTGTATAATCCATACTGGTTTCAGAATAGATGTATTGAACTATTATTCCATGAGTGAGTCCATTCATGATCTTTTTTAATGTTATTTCAAGAAGGCAGTGGTTAGAACATATTTCGGAATCGTGACTGACAAAACGTTTATTCCTCATATTGATGTTTCAAGTTTAAATGTAAATACCCAAGGTGAGGTGAAAATAAGGTTTAAACACGTGTGTGCGCGTGTGTGCGTGTGTGTGTGCGCGTGTGTTTGTGCGTGTTTGCGTGTGTGCGTGTGTGTGTGCGTGTGCGCGCGTGTGTGTTCGTGTGTGCGTGTGCGTGTGCGTGTGTGTGCGGTGTATGCGTGTGTGTGCGGGTGTGCGTGCGGGCATGTGTACTAGTCCGGACTAATGCTGGTATTATAGAACTAGCTTACTGAGATACCATGCTGAAGATTAACGTGGATATCTCACTCACACACGTGACAGTAACTCCAAATCGATCAGTTCTTGTTTTTAAATCTAGAAAACCCTTCAAAATGTGTCAAAAAAACCAGAAAACCCCAATACAACCACGTGCTATATCTTGTAAACCCCGCTATGACATTAAATGATTCAAAAAGGGGTTTAAAGGAGCGTTCAAGATTATTGCACTCATATAGCGACGTGCATGCACGTGTGTGTGTGTGCGTGCGTGCGTGCGCGCATGCGTCCGTGTGTGTATGTGGCTGCTTGTATACGTTCTAGTACGGTCTCATGCCGGTTTTATAGTACTAACCCACTGAGCTACCGTACCGCGGTTACCCCATCCAGACACAGTTTACTGACTCCGAGCCGACTATTCCTTGTTTTGTCCCCTTAATACCGAGCTCCAGACATGGTAACAACTGCAAGTGACATCTTTTAAAGTCTTTTTGTATGATGCGAGCGGGCATCGGACCACCGACCTTCCGTTCTCGTCGCAGGCGCTCTATCCACCAGGCCCAAGAGGCGGTCCTTGCCCTGCCTTTGAGAACTGACATAATATGCTGCTGATTATCCGACAGAATATGATTTACCTTTGAATAATCAATCTCATTAAAATCACATCTTAGTTCTCGCTACCGCTGAACAAAGATCTGAGGATATCCCATTTGGGGTCAGTCAGAACGACCTTTCATCAGACCAATCAGAGCGTCGCTTACCAGATCATGAAAGTGATAGTCGGAATGTGATTTCTAATCATGCAGCCTCGAAAACTTTAAAACGGAGTATTCCGAACGATAGTTACGGACTTAACGACTGATTCTATACAATCTAGACGATATATTAGCCATTCGAGAATGTTCTTTTGTTCAGGTTTCAAAATTTTAAGCGAGAATTTGTCAAAATATGTTTCGAAACGTAGTCGCCAATTTGAAATTAGTGCCGTAAAGCACGAAAAAGCTGCCTTCTGATTGGCTAATGTCGACTTCATGTCAGTATTTCCATTGATCGGTCAGAGTTGGCGAAAGGTCGGTCTGACGTGACCCGTAATGGGATGTCCTCAGATATTTGTTTAGCGGCAGCGAGAATTAAGATCTGATTTCAATGAGATTGTTGAATAATATACTCCTGTATTTTAACATTTTCCACCGAAATGACAGTTCATGAAATAATAATAATTTGTTTCGCACACATCTCGAAAAGTAGTAACCCTAGATGAATCGATGATCTTGAAATATTTGAAGTTAAATGTTTTTAGGGAACAAAACCCAAACTCACATAAAAATATAACTAATATTATACTGGGCTTGTCTATTTCAGTAATTTGCAGATACTTGCATTCAAATAGGTAATATTTTGATATCTCGTGATTCCTCTGTGTTTATTTTAATACTTCAACTCCGCGGCGATACAGTGATGCGTGGATCAGACTATGCCTCCAGTACTCCATGCTTGTAAGATCCAATAATGTGTTTAGCTGCGGCGTAAAACAGCTTCCACTCATTCCTGCGTGTACTACCATATTGTTCCCCGACTGCTGACACATGTTCTGATTTAAATTTGATCTGCTGCAGTTTGATGTTTTCCCTGACATATTCTCTTTGTTGTCATTATTAATTTATTCCAACTGTGTTCCACTGCGAGACAGCTGAGAACGTGACGTCAAGCCCACATTGTCTCATGATGCTGATAATGATCTACATTCAAACGTCCAGCACACATACACACACGTGCCAGAAGTTACGAGGATATTTGAGAGTCTCCGACTGGTCATTCTCCGCCAGGTGCAACTCAATCAGGCAGCCTTACCTTCCTTTAGGCTTCATCCCCGGTATCTGCCTGGCGTGTACCCGACTGCCTAATGCCCCCACCTAATAAAATCTCTCATCATCTCATCATCTAATTAACACCGAACCCCGAGTGGTACCTAATATTTGTAATCACTGAGCCGTACCGACTCGCTTTCTACACACTGCAGTTTTTGTTACAGCATACCTCTGAAAATACATTCATTTTTTTGTTAGTATGAGGTGGTTCAGACAAAACTGTTTCAGACAAAATAGATTAGTTCTAGTTATATATATTTTGCGGTGTTCTTACTGGTTGTATTCTCGAACATTACAAGCAAAGTTTGGTAATTTGTATTTGGTGTTTATTCTGAAACTACAGATGTTGAAGTGTTGTGGAATGTCATCGCCCTGATATTACTGTTGATGCTTCTACGAGATGAGGCCTGTGTGTGTTCACAGGCCCTGTCAGAGTGTGTTCAATTTACGGCCTCGCTTATCACACACTTGATTTGAAACCCATCTCTAAAACATACACAAGGTTAGTCGTAAACACAGCATCTTAGAAAAGTAATAAAGCTTGCACTAACACCATGTGTATGTAATACGGTATGGTTTTGCCGTGGACTATGAACGTAAACGTCAACATGAAGCTTGACGTTATAATAGCTCATGGCAAAACGATACTTTGTAGCACTACTTACGGGGGTAGGGTAAACGTTATTTCGTAAGTACAGTGACTCAATCTAGCAGTACTTTCTGATATAACATTGACTACATTGCTATAGCAACCCGAGACTATGTCAATGTAAGTGGAGAACACTTGTGACATCATCGCGCCTACGCATAAATCTGCAGGTGGTCTTTCGCTAGGTCACCGTGACATGAGGGAACGCGGAAATATTGAATGTAATAATACTCGTTGATAAAGTAATTAAATGTGAATTAAATGGTACACGTATCCTATCTACCAACACAAACAAAATGATCCGACGATAAGAAATACCCGTTTATAAGCACAGCACATCCGAAGAATCGTCACTCCACGTCAACGGAACAGCGTTGGACAGGTATGCTACCCACAGTCGAATAGTGTCACTTTTTATTAAATAACGCATATTGCCCAACTAACCTTCATCTTCTATAACAGCGATTCTCTGAGTGAACATAACTATTATGATTGAGTGATATTTCGATAACAGCAACACTTATTCCGATTCTGTGACTGGAATATTACGCTCGTTTGTAAATGTTTTGTATCTGAAGTACACTTAAGGTTCTAATTTGTCCTATATATTCAATGTCTTATGCTCAGTATATGAGGGGGCGGCGGGTAGCCTAGTGGTTAATGCGTTCGCTCGTGCGCCGAAGGCTCAGTTCGATTCCCCACATGGGGACATTGTGTGAAGCCCATTTCTGGTTTCCCTAGCCGTTATATAGCTGGAATATTGCGAAAAGCGGCGTAAAACAATACTCACTTCGTTTATGTCACAAAGGTATTATTCTTTTAATGCCTATGTTTTTTATGTCCGTTATTGTCCATATGTCCATATATCTGTAATATCCGTGTTTCTGATACGTCCTTGGTAGGTCCTTCACGTGTTGTGTTGTGTTCTTCACTCCGATAATGTTCCGCATGTTTGGGGTACGTCAGTGTTACAGGACGATGTCTCAGCTCCGATACCTGCTCCTGGCCGCTGTCACCCTCAGCCATTTCACAGGTAAGATAACTGACCCCCGTACAGGTAGATATATAAACCCATGTAGGTATTAAGTATATACGAAACTCATTCTTGAATTTCTGTTACAAAATGTGCCTGGAAGGAACCGGTCTTGATTGTGTTTCACTGAATGTAATGTTAAGAGGCCATCATGTGTCCCTTAATGCGAGGTAAAAAATATATGTTTTCCGATTCTGAGTATTTTGGGTATTTGCGTCGCGAAAGTGAATTTTAACATTGAATTTGAAACCATTTATATAAAGCAAAACAATGATTTAAACTGTATACATGACACTTCACAGCACGTATATGAATTTAATATTATATTTAAACAAACTTTATGTTTTCCTCCCTCCAGCTCGGACTAAATTTACATACACACATTATTATGCTTTGATTTCCCTTAATTACAACATACTAATGGCATATTACCTACGATTGTTATATCAATTCTCCCCTTCTGACTAGATGGGATTAAACTCTGGAACTCTAAGACCCCAAGACGCAACACAATATGGCGCGGGAACTGGAACATGGATACCTCCACATACAGGGGTCAGGAGTCGGTGTCTGCTGAACCAAACCCCGACGGCAGTAACTACAAAGTCAGCGCCATCTTTCTCTCCCAGGGATCCTACGGCCGCAACGATCTCTTCAGTGGAGCTGAGTTCTACTCTTCTCCTCTAGAGCCCAGGGAGTGCCTGACACTCTCCTACAAAGTGTGGTTCGATGACAACTTCGACTTCGCCTACGGTGGAAAGTTGCCTGGTCTGTACGGTGGCGGGGTCAACTGTACGGCTGGAGGTGACCCAGGCAAGGACTGTTTCACATCCCGCTTCATCTGGAGAACAGGAGGCATGGGTGGAGTGGCACTCTTCACCACATCACAGCAGACACCCGAGTTCTGTACCACTGAAGGGGTGGAATGTAATGATGCTTGGGGGCACCGACTGGGCAGCGGAAGTTTCCAGTTCCAGACCGGAACCTGGTACACAATCCAGCAAACTGTCCGCCTTAACACACCTGGCCAGGCTGATGGTTACGTTCGAATCGTTGTTGGGGGCGTCGGTAAAGTGTACGACGTCAGTAACGTTGTAATCAGAGAATCCTCGGATGTGAAAGTCAACGGCATTCTGTTTTCCAATTATTTCGACGGGACATCGTCATGTTCCGGAAGTCCTGTCGATACTCATGTCTACTTCCGGTATTTCGCCCTCAAGGACAACGTCTGCTAAAACCTGCCCAATTGTGTTTTCTCTCAACCTCGAAGTTTCCACATCCTCATCATCGTCATTAAAAATATAATAAATGGGCATCATGTGAACATAATCAAAGTATACCAGATGTTATTTGAATTTAAATAAACAATGAAACACACTTTCTGTTTTTGTTTTACATATTCATATTTCGAAACTTGTCTCAAGAGATTGTTTTAGGCGCCCTGCTCCCAAACATGTTGTGTATCCCTTAGCAAGTTACTTTGTTTGATGTTGATGGATCAGTGTGCACTCAAATTTCACTCTCATTCCCATTGGGAGTATACACCAAGGTTTAGTCATATTACAATTTCATCCTACCGGGTACCCACTCACTGCTGGGTGAAGAAAGGCTTTCTTTTGAGCGAAACCCTTGAAGACCCAGACAATGTAATGGCTATGAACATTCACTTGGTGAACTGAATCTGAAGCATTATTAATGGACTTATATGTTCTGATATACACGTCAAACAGCTTTAAAATCAATACAAATCTTGCAGCGTAACTTGTCTGTAAAAATAACGTTCTGACATACAAATAAAATGCAATATGTGTATTTTATAGACGCTTCTGTGGTTTCTCTAAACAATCTCCTGTTTCTAGTGCATTTGTCACCATGACCATTCGACTTGTCCCGCTGCAAATGCAAATGAGTAAGTGTATGTTGCTTAACGCCGCAGTCAACATAGCACTTTTTGTCAAAAGTCGCCAACGCGGGAATGAGACATTTCGACATCATGCAAAACTTCGCAATCTCGACTTGTCAAAGTAGGCCACAAAAACACGAAATCGCCAGAACGCGAGAATGCGACATTTTATTTTCTCACGACCTCGCGTTCTCTTGTTCTCGCGTTTTAGACACTGTCCGTGCGCATGCGTAATATTATAAGGTCAAGTCGCATGCGCTCGTTATTAGTCCTGTGGTCGTGCTTCTCTAATGCTCTTCATTCTCCAAGTAGCATTTAGCAAACTTATGACTTGAGCTTGAAAATGCTATGTTATGTACATACACAAGGTCCTTTGTTGATAACAGTCCTCTCCAGACGTTACAGTTTCCTATGTACTTTAAATTAAAACCCTCAACATGCTCACTATAATTAAACAAAAGAAATTATGTACAAATATTCAATGATAGTGAAAAGATAAAATTGTCCGGAAGCTGGAAACAAAATATCACCGTCAGTGAGTGAGTGAATATTGTATAAAGCCGGATTAGTAGTATTGCAGCTATTCGCGGCAACAGCGTCAGTTATAGAAATAATCTCAGGCCAGTGAGTTTCTCAATGAGGCAATATTTTACACGGCTAACATATTCATTAAAACACAATTCTCATTCGACCAATTTGTAGCATTCGTCTTAAATGAGATTGCCCGATGTTTTACCACAACACCGTATTCGCTACTTTAGTCCATACAAAATTAATTACGCCGGTTAAGTATAGTCACCATCTTTACTGAGGCTTAGTTTCAAATGATGTACTTCGCTATTTCTGTTTCAAGTGGATGTGTTTGAAATTGAATTTTGATTCTCAATCATAATATACCCAAAAGACAGCCGGTGTCAGAGAGTGGGATTTCCCCCCTAGCCTAAATTCCCCCCGGAAAAGGGGCTATATAGTCTAATTTCCCCCCAGAAAAAGGGCTATATAGCTAAATTTCCCCCGGGGAAAAATGACTTCATAGCCATATTTCCGCTTTAGAGTCAGATTTCCCCCCTTAACACAAGGGGAAGTATGGCTATATTGCAGAATTTCCCCTATATCCCTCAGATTTTTCAATGCAGTATTAAAAAACATAACCTAAACAGCAATGGCAAAAGCGAACTTCTTCCATGCCATATTTGACAAAGAAATTGGAGTTAAACGTGTCTTAATTGAAAACAAGCTTTTAGGAATCCTGTATAACAAGTTTAGTGTTGAAAACAGAGGATTCCGACTTGCCACTTGTTATTCATGCCAGAGAACTTATTTATGAACTGTTGCTGGATACTAGTAAACACTTCATGTCAGTGATTTTCTACAATGCAGTGATTAAGGGTGTGTTGGAATCAACAAACAGCAAAACAGTGGAAGACAGTTATATTTTAGAATTTCTGGACAAAGTTTTGTCCTGTGTTTCTGGCGCAATAGACCAGCTTGAACTCCAACTCCATTAGTATTCAGTAAAATGAATAAAATTCTTTTTACATATTTATTATGTTCACCAATGTTATGGTTTTAATGGTGCTGAAAATTTCACTGTCGCCTTTATCATGCTGAAGAGCAAGAGGTCCCAGGTTCGAACTCCGTTAGTGTTATTTAGAATAAAGCTTTATTACCCCGAGGGGAATTTGGATTATATTTGTAGTGAAAAGAGTATACATACACTCATTACGAACAATACAATTACAGACCAACACGTATATCTGCACTCATACATAGCACTCCATGCAAACTTACATAACACTCCATGCATACAAACATACACACAGAACATACATGCATAACATAAAGCAACAAAATATGCACTATTAAAGAAGATAAAATATGAATTAACACTAGCACATAAGAATTAAACAATGATTAAGAGACAGGTTGACTTGGTTCATCATTTAAAAATAAAATACTAACGGGAACAAATGAAGATTTGGCTCTATTTGATTAAAAACAAGGTACACGATATCTTCTTCCAGATGGTAAAACGTCATAACAAGGGTATAAAAAGTGATTTGGTTGGTATAAAATTCTATTTGCAAGCTGTAAAACACGTTGATTGTAAAGAGAGTCAAGACTGTTGAATTTGCATCCTGAGATTTTGCTAGCCACAGTAGTTATTTTAGTTATTTAACCTAAGGGCTGACATTAGTACAGGTCCTAAAAGTGTTGTCGCAAGCATAGCCTGCAGTTCACAACCCTGTGCATTAAACAGAATCCGCTCATCAGTTGGTAAATGAACAGATGACGGAAACAGTACTCACGTATATATCTTCCACTGAAACACGAGTTGAAAAAATGGCGGCGTCACCTTTGGTAAGTGATCTTGTTCATGCATGCCTCTGTCCACAAGCAGTAAATGGGCACTAAGGAGTTAATGTGGTAATGGTAATGTGAATTGGTAACCTTCAAGCGCCCGACAGGCAGCTTTGGTTGCATTGGGGGAATAGGCTAGAGGGGAAATTCCACTCTCTGACACCGGGTCCAGTTTATCTTTATCACTTAGTTTTCAAATAGGCAAGCTGTCATGTTGCATATCAGGAACATCAAACAAAGACGGCGAAGTTAAGTTTATTTCACAGCCCGTTGGACGAAATGCGTAGATACACAAAAGTACGGAAACGTATCCGTGATGTGTGCTTTTGTGTGTGTGCTTTTGTGTGTGTGCTTTTGTGTGCTTTTGTGTGTGTGTGTGCTTTTGTGTGTGTGTGTGCTTTTGTGTGTGTGTGCTTTTGTGTGTGTGCTTTTGTGTGTGTGTGTGTGTGTGTGTGTGTGTGTGTGTGTGTGTGTGTGTGTGTGTGTGTGTGTGTGTGTGTGTGTGTGTGTGTGTGTGTGTGTGTGTGTTACGGTATTGTAAATCTGTGTAAGTGAGTGAGTTAATTGGGTTTAACGCCCCCTTTAAATCTAGTCCAGTTATATCGCGGCGTTGTCAGCTTAATGTGGGAGGAAAGCCCCAAATGATGCAGGTCTCAGATGTTAACAACCTCGGTGAAGCCTACGAGCACGGGTATAGTGCTGACAAACCTAGAAACATAATCGGGGCGAACCGGGATTCGAACCCACAATCAAAGGTTTCTGGCGTTCCCAAGGGACGCAACTCTGTACAGCAAATCGCGGCGCCTTAGACGACTTGGTCAATCTGTGTTGAAGGTGTAAATAAACCCATATCATGACATGAGAATGACCAATGTTCATGCTCTTTATTTCAACAGAACAGAGGTTACACTGTGGTTGTTTAAACACATGCACATTAGGATTTCTAGCAGAAGTTGTCCTTGAGGACGAAATACCGGAAGTAGACATGAGTATCAACAGGACTTCCGGAACATGACGATGTACCGCCGAAATAATTGGAAAACAGAATGCCGTCGACTTTCACATCCAGGGATTCTCTGATTACAACGTTACTGACGTCATACACTGTACCGACACCCCCAACAACGATTCGAACGTAGCCATCAGCCTGGCCGGGTGTGTTAAGGCGAACAGTTTGCTGGATTGTGTACCAGGTTCCGGTCTGGAACTGGAAACTTCCGCTGCCCAGTCGGTGCCCCCAAGCATCATTACACTCCACCCCTTCAGTGGTACAGAACTCGGGTGTCTGCTGAGATGTGGTGAAGAGTGCCACTCCACCCATGCCTCCTGTTCTCCAGATGAAGCGGGATGTGAAACAGTCCTTGTCTGGGTCACCTCCAGCCGTACAGTTGACCCCGCCACCGTACAGACCCGGCAACTTTCCACCGTAGGCGAAGTCGAAGTTGTCATCGAACCACACTTTGTAGGAGAGTGTCAGGCACTCCCTGGGCTCTAGAGGAGTGGAGTAGAACTCAGCTCCACTGAAGAGATCGGTGAGGCCGTAGGATCCCTGGGAGAGAAAGATGGCGCTGACTTTGTAGTTACTGCCGTCGGGGTTTGGTTCAGCAGACACCGACTCCTGACCCCTGTATGTGGAGGTATCCAGGTTCCAGTTCCCGCGCCATATTGTCTTGCTTCTTGGGGTCTTAGAGTTCCAGAGTTTAATACCAACTGAATGGAGAAAAAATAAAGAGCTTTCAGATGTAATGTCATAAAGCATTAACGTGCTGTAGTGAAAAGTCATATATATAACGTCATCATTTTATGAAGACGGAGAAATAGCAGGAGTGTGATAGAAACAAGAATCATGCCATTGTGGTGTTGTAATATCACGTAATCAATACAGAAATAAGAGGCGGTCGGGTAGCCTAGTGGTTAAAGAGTTCGCTCGTCACGCCCAAAGCCCGGCTTCGATTCCCCACATGAGTACCATGTGTGAAGCCCATTCTTGTGTCCCCGCCGTGATATTGCTGGAAAAGTGCTAACAGCGGCGTAAAACCATACTTACCCACTCACTGCAGAAGTAAACGATTCAGAAATAAAAATATTTCCGATAAT